TTGTTTATCACACAGCTGTTATATAAGTTAAGTTAAATAATACTAAGTCATTCTCCCCATAGATTTTCTGCAAAATACAAAATAAAATTAAAGTTTGTAGGGCTGCTCAGGGCTAATCATCTATGTGACCGCAATTTAAATTAAAAATTGATTTCTGAAACTTTATAAACTGCATAGTTACTAACGCATTTGGCCAAATCTTGTGTTTTAAATGTGCGACTTGGACTTAGAACAACCAAAGTATGGATTTTAGTTACACATACAGTAGTTGATTAGCCGCAAACTCTTGGTATTTTTCAGAAAATCTATGGAGGAAAAAAATGACTGGAACATTTCTTTACGGAAACAGAGTGGCCTTCGAAGTAGGTGGGACAGAGGAGCTCCATGGCACCAGCTTTTGTGCTTTTATTACAAGGGTCTGGAAGTGTCTCTGTCTATGAATTTCAAAATGGTGAAAAATGAAGACCACCATCAAATCTCTCTTTTTTTTCTCTCTCTTTGTATGTGTGTTAGCCTTATAGCCTTTTGTTATGAATGTGCTTGATATGCTTGTCCTCAAAAATAACAAATTATTTAAAAAAAATATATAAATCTCTTTTAAAAAGTCCCTCCCAATTCTAACAAACATAGCACAGTTATTGCTCTGCCTGGGGTGTTCCACAATATTGCATTAAACAAATATATGTTGTATTTCTTCAATTATAGGTGTTTTTATTTCTAAAACAAGTCCCTGTAGGTAACTGTCAGGAAGAGCATCTGGACTAAATGTGTAAATGAAAAGAACAAAGTCAACAAACAATTATCTATAGCTAAGGGCCTGTTTACACGAGAACGCTTGCAGGTAAAAATGACAAAATATTTTATCAGAAGTGCCTTTTGTTTAGACGGTGATGGTGTTTTTGGGGCTTAAAAATGCTAAAATCTGAAACCACCCTCCAGAGTGGAAAAGTTGAACACGCTCCGCCGTAGCGTTTCCGTCTACACTGCCCAAGACGCAAAACTCTGGTCAGATCTGCTCAGGTCACATATGTGTTTATGTCGGGGTCAGCCTTATCAGAAGACCCTCTAGTCAGAAAATCCATGTTCAGGTAGTGTTACAAACTGTTACAAATGAAACTGTATTTCAAGTTTTAAATATGTTAAAAAGTAAATATTAAAAGTAATACATATATTAAACCCTTAAAATATGGCAAAAATGTTTGAGGAAATAATGATTTGGGTGGAAATGTCTGTCTTAAGTGTAACAGGGTTAATAATTGTTTGATATTCAGGCAACAACTTGCAAAATGTTCAGTAATTTGAACTCTACAACCTTCATTTCAATTTTATTTTAAATCTTTTTCTTTTAATATAGCATTGGTGGGTTTGTAAACCAACAAATTAAGTAATGCTGGCCTTAGCTAATGCTGTTATGCATGATTATGTGTTTTCCTGTCAATATCTATAAAAATTTTGATGTTGCAGCCATTTTTAATTGGTATACATCCAAAAGTTTACTAATTCTTCCCTGACATCCAGGGATTATTCTCTGTTGCTTTCATCAAATATACATTCAATTGTTCCAGAGATATGCTGCTGACAAACCAACAGAAGAGGTGATGATTTTCTGACTAGTGGGCCTTCTCACTACAGGGCCTTCTGACTAGTGAGCTTTCTGATGATAACCTCGCCGTATGCATACTTAATCAAATTCCACACACTATTGTGTCACCGTATGCACACAGATTTGTTCCTGAAAACGCTCATCTAAATGCGGAATTAAAAGTGAAGACGTGACTCCACTTTTGCGTCTTCTGTTCAGACCATCATCATATAAACATAGCCTTAAACTACGGGAAAATGTTGTTAAAAGGTGCACTGTGTAACTTTTCTGGTGGAGGGTATCCATGGTACTGTTAATGTTTTGCCTGGAATGTTCCACCGTATGGTATTAAGCAGATCGAGCTTATATTTATTCAATTACAGGTGTTTTTATTTCTCAAAAAACGTGAATTGTTATTGTGAGCAGGTCCACTTCTCCACAGATCTGACCTGTAAACTGGCCTGGGGATGGAGTCAAAGTCAAATCCTCTGCCAGAAAAGTTACACAGTGCACCTTTAAAGTTGTGGCCAGAGTCTTTTCTCGCACACAGCTGTTCTACATACGCGCTACTTCAAAACACTTGCGTTTTCTGCAGGTGCCGCCGTTTGCCTCGCGACTTTTAAAAAACGTTTAAAAACTTCTCGCGTCACCTCTAATTGTTCCAGGTGTTCAGAGCAGAATCCATTACCCACAATGCAATTCTGCGTGTCCGCGTAGCCTGGAAGTCCTAATGAAGATCCATAGATGCGAAACAATGCGAGCAGTCAACGCCGCTCCACAAAAGAAAAATAATTATTGGAGAATACTGGCAGTGATGTATGGCAATTTGGAACCGCAGCTTTTTACAGTGCGTTACAATACAGGCTACGACAACAATGGGAGTCCTGATGGTCGCTTTTGTACTGGACTGGTAAAAAGAGTGGATTTTCAAATAGGTGTTTTGTTTGCAAGTTGGTAAGTAATTTAGAAATGGGGCAAACTTGAATAAAACAAGCCTGAAAGCAATCATCGAGCGGTAAAAAAAAAAAAGTGCTGAACAGACGACAGCGGACATAAGTGTGTGTTTTTGTGAAAGACTTTGGTTGAAAGAGAGCGGTACTGAAAAATGTTACTGTTGACGCGGTAACACGGATTTGAGATGTAAGGAAAACATGCTTGAGGTTGGACATATAGTATATTTGGATCAATTTGAATGAACTTGTAAGGCTAATGGTAAATCAAAGGCTGAAGAAATGTACTTTCACTTTGTGGAAACCGTCTGACCTTGCAACATTAGGATTCGTTCGCTTGACGGTAGGCAGGTACCTTTTTAATTTAACCAATCGCTGCTATTTGGTCGTGACGTATGTAATGCACCACTAACGGGGCAAACTGATATATTAAGCTTTTCCCAAATCCCGTAGGAAGAAGGACAATAACATCTTTCCCCTTGATAAAATTCACCAAACATTTTGTTCCGGCTTTAAATCCTTGATCTCAGGAATCGTTGCCAACACAGAATGTATGGCTCTTCGCTGATTGGCTGGTGCCCGGACTCGCACTTCCGGGGCTTTTGCAAACTGTCTAGTGTATTCTGATTCCTGACCTAGTCACTGGAGAGAAATGAAATTGAGCAGAGGCACTAGGTAGCGCCAGCCTGGCTAAAAGAAATGTACACTTTTAACAAATCTACAGTATGTAACTTTACAGGTTACAGAATATTGTTGGATTTAACTAGGGATGTGCAAAAATACTGAACTATCTATATATCGTATCATTTAATGTGATGATATCAGGGGTTGCTGTATCGATATATCGCCAAAAGTATTTTTTAGTATATTTACTTGTTTACAGTTTTGCTGCTTGTTTAGAGGAAGAAAACATTTTGATGTTTTGATGATTAAAACGTTTGTGTTTTATATTCACTTTGCACAAGACGTGGTTTACCAAACACTTTTAGTATCACAGCCATGATTTAGCATTTAATTTTTACTGAACCATCTCGAATGATATGTATCGTATCGTATCGTGGCCTATGTATTGAGATATGTATCGGATCGCCAACTTCTTAATGATTCCCAGCCCTAAATTTAACCAGTTTTTATATTGTTTATGTGGGCGTTAACAGCAACTCAGATCTACTTGTTGTAATACGTGAGTTTAACTTGTGAGTCTGTAATGCACCAAAACACTCTTTTTCCAGACAGGAAAGTGAAAGCAAGTTTAGTTAATGTGTTTCCTATTCTGTGTTTAATTTAAAAAAAAAAGGAAAAAAAAAAAAGGCCAACTAATCTAGGAAACCAATAACAACTAATTTGAATGATTAAATTATTGTCTGTTTCCAATCAAAAATGCATCCACTGAAAATGTACTGTATAGATTTTATCTCTATGTAACTTATGTGTCTTGTCTGATTTTATGCATGTAGATTATTTTTTTTACACGGACAGGTGATGAAAACTATCACTTGTGCTAAAACACTCAAAGCAATGCGTCTGGCTTGTCTAATGCGATTGTGATGTCCTTAATACACATTAATAAAAATACATTTAAAAAAGAAATCAGAGGTATCGCCATGCCACAAATTGTTACATAAATGAATAGTTCTTTTTGTGGGGGTGTGATAATGTATTGGTACCTTAAATGGCCCATATTACTCAATTTTCTGTTATAATGTTGCTTCCTCATCACAAGCATACATGGATTTGTTTCATTCACACCCACACGCAAATCCTACACATTTAGTCTGAGCTCTTCTCTTAAACAGAAAACATTAAACTCTATACACCTTCACTAGAGTCATTTGGATAATTTCAGACCTGGAATTGCCAATCTCTACTGAACAAATGGTAAAAGTTAGCTGTCAACTTCAAAACTACCTGGTGGAACAGAGCGTTTTGAGCTTTGGAGGCGGAGAAAGAGCTGTAAAGACGTAAGTAACCTCCGCAGCTCATGCCTACAGTCTGTTTAAACACGGACCAAGGTTCAAGGTTCTTCATTTGTCATTCAAGCATGCGGGAGAAACACATGACAGACTCGAAATGTGTTCCTCGAGACCCAGTGATTAAGAGAGATAAAAACGATAATAAATAAGCAATATTAAAAAGTACATCAAGAGCATTTAGCAGCTCCAACAGAGAAGTACAAGCAGAACAAGATAGAAAGACAGCCTAAGCAGAAAGTCAGTGTGCACCGTTCAAAAGTCTGACAGCCTCAGGAAAAAAGCTGGACCTCACCGAGATGTTCTGGCTTTGGTGCTCCTCACTGGGATAATCCTGTTTTACTGTTATTGTGTCAGTAGTTTCAATACTATCGCAGTATATCTCTGTACAAGTATATCATCAGACTGTATTACTGTGACAGGACGTGTATTGCTAAAGATGTGTAATCGTTAACACCCGTCCCCAGCCCTTTCCCCATGCATGCCGTGTCTCCTGACCTGCACACTTGGTCCGGGCCCTCAGAGGCGGCCCCGGAGCCCCCGTGCCTCCCTCCAGCGGCCGGGTGAGGAGCACGCTGATCTCGTACTCCGTGTCGGGGTCCAGGTGTCCGATCTTGTGGGTGGTCTTGTCCACGGGCTGGAGGTCGTACATGGTCCCCGACACGGTCCTGTACTCCACCTCGCGGTCGATGATGGGCCCGTCTCCGTTGATGGAGTTGGCGTTGAGCTGGATCCAGAGGTACGTGGCCCCCACCGCAGTGAGCTGAGGGGGCGCGATGGGCACAGGGGGTTCTGGGAAACAAAACGTGAAAGAGAAAAGTCAATATACAGTATTGAACATGAGTCTGTCAGTCAAACCGGTTGTAACGCTACCAACAGGATTTTTTTGGGCCCAAACTCCTGGGAGCTGCAGAAGCTATGGAGCAACAGGAAGAGAGGGGTCTGGAGTAAGAAAGCTTTCAGAAATATTCATGTGCATAGGATATAAATCTGTGCATATTTGGGAAATCCGTGCATATTTGGCTGCAGTTGAGCATAAAATAAATATTCGTAAACTCTCGAATGAGTCCAGATTCAGAATATGAACTGAGAAGTTACGACATCAAGAATTACAATCACAAAATGAAAATTTCAGTCCTGCTTTAGTCCTGCTTTAGTCCTGCTTTAGTCCTCCTTTAGTCCTCCTTTAGTCCTCCTTTAGTCCTCCTTTAGTCCTCCTTTAGTCCTGCTTTAGTCCTCCTTTTTCACTCCTGGTTTAGACCTCCTGGTTTAGTCCTTCTGGTTTAGTCCTTCTGGTTTAGTCCTTCTGGTTTAGTCCTCCTGCTTTAGTCCTGGTTTAGTCCTCCTGCTTTAGTCCTGGTTTAGTCCTGCTTTAGTCCTGGTTTAGTCCTGGTTTAGTCCTGCTTTAGTCCTGGTTTAGTCCTGCTTTAGTCCTGGTTTAGTCCTGCCTTTAGTCCTGGTTTAGTCCTGCTTTAGTCCTGGTTTAGTCCTGGTTTAGTCCTGGTTTAGTCCTCCTGCTTTAGTCCTGGTTTAGTCCTGGTTTAGTCCTGCTTTAGTCCTCCTGCTTTAGTCCTCCTGCTTTAGTCCTCCTGGTTTAGTCCTCCTGCTTTAGTCCTCCTGCTTTAGTCCTCCTGCTTTAGTCCTGCTTAGTCCTGCTTTATCCTCCTGCTTTAGTCCTGGCTTATTCCTGCTTTAGTCCTGGTTTAGTCCTGGTTTAGTCCTCCTGCTTTAGTCCTGGTTTAGTCCTGCTTTAGTCCTGGTTTAGTCCTGGTTTAGTCCTGGTTTAGTCCTGCTTTAGTCCTGGTTTAGTCCTGGTTTAGTCCTCCTGCTTTAGTCCTGGTTTAGTCCTCCTGCTTTAGTCCTGGTTTAGTCCTGGTTTAGTCCTGGTTTAGTCCTCCTGCTTTAGTCCTGGTTTAGTCCTGGGATCAGTCCGTATGCAGTGCAAATGTCCAGCATCCCAATCAATGTTTCTTCTGCTCAATAAATAATACCTGTGAAGTGATGACATATTTTTGACAGTAAAGTTGCATTTGTGAATTCGTATTCATACTGAAAAAAAACTTTATCATAAATTTTCATTTCGTGGTTTTAATTCATGTCGTCATAACTTTTTCAATTCGTATTCTGACGGATAAAATACACACAACACATTTTTTGTACAACTGGACTCAATCAAGAGTTTACGAATATTTATTTTATGCTCAAGTACAGCCAAATATGCACAGATTTCTATCCTATGCACACAGATATTTCTGAAAGCTTTCTTACTCCATAGAGGGGAAGTGTATTATCTAGTTCTTAATATAGATCCATGAGTCGATGGAGCTGAATCCTGCCCATGTTCACTTCCTATTTGTAGCGTCCTGGCTCGTGGGATAGTTCAGTCCATTTAAAATACACAGTTTGAGTTATCTTATTTATTTATTTATTTGATTATTTATTTTTGTCATTTGCATTTTCATTGTCATTTTATATATCCTTGAGTCGGACAGAGTGAATGATTAAAAGCAATATAAAATTACAGAGTATCATAAAAAGGTAATTAAACGTAAATTGCAATACAAACTTAACTAGAACTTAAATTGCTTCGTAATATATTTTTTTTTATTATTACAGAGTCGTGAATAGGCGAAAAAGAATATTGTTTGATTAACATAACATATTGCGTTGGACCATTACAACCTGCAAGACGACTACAATTGTTTAAAGCTGCTCTCTGTGCCATTTAAAAAGACAAACTTCCAAAGACTTTCTCACAGTGTCGTCTAAAACATGTGAAATTGTCCAGGCCTTGGATGTACTCCGATCACCACATCGATGAAAAGATGATGTTCCAAACGCGTTAAATGAAATGTTTGTGAAATTGTGAAATAACCTGACATTCTTCCTTTTCCCTTGAACCAAATATGGATTTTAAAAGTGACACTCAAGGACAGACCCACGGTTACAACAAATACTGCAATCTCTGGTATCTGTAGTAAGAGTAAGTGTTCATCGTGGGCTATGTTTTCTCTCTCGCATTCCAAAAATATGATCATTATCTGATTTGTGGAGTTATCAGATTAGTCAAATGTGATGTGAGTAATCTGATTTCTCTGACTGTGTACAACTGTGCAGGAAAATTATGTAAAAATATCGATAAAAATGAAAGATGGAAATGAAACAGAACATGATTTACAGTAGATATGAGTTGTCCTTTGTCTTTCAACATTATGACACAGATATAAGACCACACGGTAATATAAAATAAAGTACAATTTAATGCTCAAAATCAGTTTTGTGTATTGAGTCAATTCTTCAGTATCAAAATGTGTTATTAGACACGTAAATGTACCCAGTATTAACCAATATGACTGATGTGTCCATGTGTTATTCATGAGCTATTTTGATTATGCAATGTTATTCAATATTTTAATACATAAAAAATGTATTCTACTCGGCTACTTCTACTACAACTACAATTATGTTTGCTATTTTACCATAAATACGCTCTATTGCTACAACGATTTTGCTTCTACTGTAACCAGGTTATAACAATTATTACTATAATTACCGATTTTATCTCTAAATCATCCAAATTATTCTAGTGAAAGAGTCATTAAACACCCTCCTGAAGTTTTACTCTAAGCAAAATCTGAAAAACCGTCCAGAGTAAGTGGTGCCCGGCGGGTTAGGGGGAGTAGGTGTAGGGTGGGCTCTGGAGTGATGATTGACAGCCACAACAATCCAATATGGCACAGACCAGTGCGCTCCAGACTTTGAAACAGAGTGGATATTTGTGTTCGGATCACGCCGTTTCCCTTTTTTCCCCAGACATGGCGGGACATCGCGGTGCCCAGCGGTGCCAGGTCAGGGTGGGTCTGAGAGGGGCTCCTCAAGTACCTCCTGTAGACGCCAGTGGCTGCGCTCGTCACATAATAAGCCAGCATCATTGGCGCTTGTTAGTCCTACCAAAAAAATCAAGTCTATTTTGTCTTCCTATAATTTATGTTATTAGGTTGTTTTTTTCAGACTAAGTTAGTTTTTTTTTTTTTTTTTTTTTACTTTTTTTTTTTTTTATTAAAGACAGCAGAACATAACATTCAAAAAAACAAAACAAAGATCAACGTTTAACAATTGCAATATTCAACATAAAAACAAAAACATAAAGCAACAACCACAACACCACAACAAATACAAAAAAGCCCCCCCATTTCCCCCCAACCGCCCACACCAACACAAAGTCAAAACAATATAAATGTGATAGTGCAACACAAACACACCGCTAGGCTCCCGAACATTGATACACTGCGGCCAATTTATAATTGAAGTTCCTTTTGTCTCTCTTCCTTTTTTTTTTTTTTTTTTTTTTTTTTTTAATTATAATTTTTTTAATGTATTAGTCCCTATACTCAAACTAATATTTAAGACTAAGTTTGTTTTCACATCTGACAGTTTCTATAAACCGGGACGAGGGGGCTTTTTTACTCTCACACATCTAGGATACAGTCCTGAAAAAGTCATCCTGCCTCCTCCGGTAGGAAGACAGCACCAAAATCTGTTTAAATCAGCTGACTGGACATGTCACAGAAACATCACGTGACCACTCTGAGGAAGACCACTAGTGAGCAGTCGAAACTATCAGGTGAGACAACAAACTCTTGGTCTGAAAAAATAATCTAATAGCATATTTACTGGTCATAGTTGATCCTAAAGAGGCCATTACAGACTCAGTTTTTGACCCAAAAGACAGATTTTTAACAAATATGCACTAAAATGCCAAAATAAGGCCAGAGATATGTATACATTTCCATTTTAGACCCATTTACACAGTTAATCAGTAGATTTTGTAAAAACTGATTTTGGTGTTTCGTGGAGTTTAAAAACGCAGTGGAGCACTTCCTGTATTACCACATGACATCACAAGTTGGAACAGAGTGTTTTCCGTTTCAGAGAACTCAGCCGAAATATTCACACCTAAATTTGTGTGAATGAAACAAAAGGGGGACACAACATTATAACATAGATGTGCCCTTTAAATCATTTGCGATCGTCAAAAAGGTATACCATCAACTAGCATGCTAACGGCACACCTCCTGGTTCTATGACAATAAGATTTTAGAATTAAATGTAGACAGAATTATTATTATGTTTATTTATTTCGGACAGTAATACATAGAACATAAATTAAAAAACAAAAACAAAAAACTAAATGATAAAAAAAAGACAAAAACGTAAATACATAGATATAACACAAAAAGTAACTATTTCTATTCTATAATAATAATAATAATAAATGTTACGCAGAATTTTAATGTGTCCGAAAAGGAGTGGGAGAAAGTAAATACTTATTTAACCCCACCCCTTTTTTCTACAATCCCAAATTAACGAAGAACAAATAGACTTCTCATTTCCTGTACATTATAAGCAATAATTGCACAGTACCTCCATTGCATTACAATCTAACAGACAACAACAAATATATGTATATTATGTACACAGATATAGTACACATCATATACACAGATATAATATATACATACCTACATACACATCACATACCCATGCATACCTATATATATATACATATATACACCCATATACATACACATACATATACATGCACACATATACCCTAAGCACTCATTTCTTCCGCACAGTATTTTGAAATAATTAATTTTTTAATTGCCTTTTTGAATACATGTATATTCGAACAAAGTTTTAATTCTATTTTCAAGTTGTTCCATAATTTCACCCCACAAACAGAGACACAAAAACTTTTTCTTGTCGTTCGAGCACGAGGCAATTTAAAATTCAAAACGCCTCTTAAGTTATAGTTTGTTTCCCTTTCACAAAAAAGTAGTTGAAGATTTACAAAAAAGTAGTTGAAGATTTGTGGGAGAGCCACTTGTAACTGCTGCCAAATTCAAAGAAAAC